CCGTCAGCGAGGTGAGCAACGGGACGCCCCGGAGGGCAGGCTGCGCGCGGCTGCTCCCGCTCCTCGTCTTGCGCCTCCTCCTCCTCCTCGAGTTTTGATGTGAGTGCCACCTCCCCTGCCGGGGACGAGCCGCTGCCGCTGCGACCACAGCGCATCCGCAACGGCAAGACAGCGACCCGAGCACCCCTGTCCCAAGTCAGACGTAACCCCACGAAACTCAGAGAAGCAGAGCCTGACGGGACGCAGTTTCCGGGGGGGCAGAGTACTCTGGGGAAGCAAGGTGAACAAGGAAATTGGAAGCCGCCTTACAGAGATGTAGGTACAACTGAGTTTTCTTTCTTTCTTTCTTTCTTTTTTTTCCAAACGGGAAGAAGGCACGCGGGCTGTGGACCCACCTGCACGCTGCATCGTGTGGCCTCTGTGACCAGGCGGGCAGGGCTCAGCCGCTCTGCCCACCGCGGTGCCCCCCACCAAGGAAACTTCTGGAGTCGGCCACCCCACGTTCCGTCAATAGAGACAAACGCAGTGAGACGTGCGGGCCCAGGGGTGCCGCAGTGGCCCGGCTCCCAGACTGTGTCACTATTGTGTGTGTGATGAAATGCAGAATCAAAAAAAATAAATAAATAAAAAGGAAACGAAACAAGACAGCCTGAGGGCTACAGCAGCCCCGCAACCGAGAGTCACAAAAGATGTCGTTAAGCTTTGGTTTGTTTTCCATTCGACTACATGGACATCACGGATAATAAGGGATTCTGAGTCATTATTAATCTCATTAATTATATTTTCTGATACGCATCTAAAACTTAGTGCAAAAACAAGACACAACTAAAAGGATACACAAATGAAAGGAGCGAAGAGAAGTATGTTTGTTAAACATTAAACATGAATAGTGTGTTGTTACCTAGGTTTACACTCGGTGGACCACACGCCAGGCATCAACCCCCTGGTGAGGATTTGGCAAATCCACCAAAAAAAAAAAATGCAATTTAACCAACACCTCCACCAGCGCTACGGATTTCTCCTTCTCCTGGCATTTAACGCAGACAATACTACGCTTCTCCGTGCTGTTTAGAAACAGAAGGGCGACCTGCACTGTATCCTGAGTTTGCGGTGATGCTTCCTTTAATGGCCTATATTATACAGTATATATACACATATATTTTTTTCGTTAGAGTTCTAGCCGTTTAATTTCTCAGCAGGGTCCTTTCTCAGACATTATTCTGCATGCTGTAAATGGCGTTAGCTGTGTGTTGACCTTCTAAAAGATGATAGAGTTTACTGGTGATTGTGTAATCAGCTCCTGCCTTTTTCTTTTTTGGGTTATTGACACGTCAGAGACATTTATAAAACGTGAAAAGAGAAACAGAGCCCTAACACCGCGCGTAGCATCTTTTCCAGGTGTGCTCTCGGAGGCGAGGGCCGACACAGGAGCCCCACGCCTCCCAGCGCCTCGGGACGAGCAGCAGGCAGCTGCCCCGACCCAGCAGTCAGTCACCACTCGCTCCAGCCCGGACCAGGGATCGCGGGTGCCTTTGTGGTCGCTGGAGAGTTGAGCCCTCCCGGTTTATTTTATTTAATTCCCCACCTTTGTGTGCGTGTGTGTGGAAGAGAAGAGAATGCAGTTTTTAGGGAAGCTTTTATTCCTCCCCTGAAGTCTGGGAGCCAGAGGGGCCTCGAGGGGGTCCTGGATGCGTCGAGGGGAAGTGGGATTGGGGGTTAGGGGAGGGAGCGGTTGTCTCTGACTTGACATTAAAAAGTGTTCCATGTCCCTCTGCACCTGGTGTGGTACCTCATTCTCAAGCGGGGGGTGAGGGGAGAGGAGCCTGCGCGGCTCCAGCGTGAAGAACACGGAGGGGTCTGGCTCCGGATTCAGGCTACTGCTCTGTGGACCCCTCGAGGGTGGAGTGGGCTCTGAGCACAGGCAGGGGTTCAGGAAACCACCTTCTGCTCCAACAGAAGCACGGAAGGCGGGTCTCGTGGTGTCTGCACCTCCAGGGCCACCAGAAGTTCCCGGCGAGGCTGACAGCACCTGGCTGCGTTCAGATGCCTCCCCTGGTCACCAGGGCGGAATGCAAGTCCCACTAGGGAAAGGCTGTCACGTGTGAGCAGCTCTGGGAGGCAGCCACCCTCCCGGTAGCACAGCGATCACCAGAAAAACCCCTCAGAACCTTGCGGTTTGCTACTGAGCAATCCCAAATCACATCACCCGGTGTTTTGGGGACTGCCTTCCGTCCAAGCCTGCCTCCCAAACCTTGTCTCCAGCCACAAATTAAGAGAAAAGGTAGGTCTTAATATGTAATGGTTTTCAAATAATTCTAGCCTGTTCTGATTGATTGTGGGGATTAAATAAGTAGCTGAAAATTCACTGAGAGTCGGAAAGGAGGTCAGAGCCGGAACACTTGGGAATTATTGCACTTGTGCCCTTGGGGGCCCAGTTCCCCCCAAGAGGAGGGGGAACGCTTGAGAAGGGCAGTGTCATTTCCAGCGGCTGCCGGCAGAACTGAGAAGTGACTGTCGACTTCAGGTTTCTTCGTGTCCCCCGACCTCCCACCCCCACCACCAGGCGCCAGAGACTCCGCTTCCTCCTGGCGTCGTGGTCCCGAGGGGCTGACCCCGCCCCGCACACCGGGGCTGCGCCGTGGCCACCCCTCCCTGAGGCCTCTGGGCTGCTGAAGGCGGGGCTGCGGGCCTCCGGGGAGTGGAAGGGGGTGGGTGAGATTTACCAGCTCCCCTGTGACCGGAATGTCTACAGACTCGGACCAGAGGGTTTCAGTGCGGATCCCGCTTGCTGGAGTAGAGTAGGGAAGACATAGGTCATTTCCGTACGTCTCCTAAGCTCGCGCCCAGAACACCTCTGAATAAAAGGTACCAAGGCGTCTGCAGACAGAGGCTTCCTAGACGTGGCCGGGACTGGAGCACACAGCGGCCCGTGACCCCGCTGGGTTCAGAGATTTCTCGTCCGTGTCTACGAAGTGTACCTTCCATCACCCCATCACCATCCCTCCCGGAGTGACTGTTCTGTCACCACCGGCTTTGTAAAGGGACTTCACTTTACCTGCTCGCCGATCTGACAGCCCTTCCCACCTGGCGGCTCTCCGTCACTCTGGTCCTCTGAGAGCACATGTCTCAGAACCAGCTTCGCCGCGACGGCTGCCTCCAGCAGGCAGGGCCACTCCCTCTCCGGCTTCACGAGCGTGCCCTCCCATCTTCTGCCCAGTGCGCCACCCACGCCCCGATCTGCTGAATTTCAGGTTTTGACGGACGCCCATGAGGAAGGGCCTCCAGCCAGACTTAGAGCTCAACGCTGGCGGACACGGCTTTGATAAGCCCCATGAGGGTGGTTCCCGGCCTCTCTCTCCCCGGGAAACAGGAGCTCAGTCAGGCGGCGCTCATTAGCGCGAGAGCAGAAAGCATCCTGACCGGTGTGTGGGCTGTTCTTCCGGGCACAGGTGCTGATGGAAGGCCGTTACCGCGAGCGGGCCTGCACTCCCCACGTTCTGGACCCCTGGGACTCAAGCCACCGGCACATGTTAGGATTCATCCACTATCTCTCACCGGAGGCTGTCCTTTGGGGAAACCAGGATGTAGGTTTTGCAGATTTTACCCCATAGGGATGTGGGGGGGGCGGTGGTGCTCGGGGTGGGTGTTCCAGCACTAAGCCTGCTAACCAAACACGCCCGCAGAATCACATTCATCTTCTTTCAAGTTGCCACTCCCTCCCAGCCCCACAGGGCGCCTCCCCCACGCCCGGCCCTTAAACTCTTCCCCGCAGCGGGCTCAGAGGTCCACCGTGAGGCGTCGCAGCCCTGCCTTCTGCCGAGCAGGGCTTGCAAAACTGGAGCCGCACTGCTGCTGGTGATTCTCAGATGCTCCTTGCTGTCACTGTGGGTGGTGATGAATGGCAGCCTCTGTCCTCCGCGCTGGAGATCAGTCAGCAAGTGAGTTAACACCAGGATCTGACGGAGGCGCTGCGCGTGCCATCGGCTTGACCCCATCCCTGTCTTAGCCCTCTGAACCCTGAGTTTAGAAGGGAAGACGGTCTCCCTGATCAGTCACAGGAATGTCCCTTTAATGTGTGTTTTTTTTGATTAAAAGTGTGTAATCTGGGAACAGCAATTCATCCACAATTAAAAATAAATTCTCATGATGGTAAAAATTTGAAGTATTTCTCATTAAAGGAGAAAGAGCTGCGTAGAAGGGGAGATGTGGCCGTCCAGCCCTGGGAGCCTGGCCGCTGCCCGGCTGCTGCTGGCCGAGCGTACACGCACATGACGGTCGTTTACCCGTCACCAGAAGAACAGCTGAGAACCGAGGCTGTCTGTATCCATGCGCGGCACTAGCTAACACCTTTCAAGCATTTTTCAAAATGTTTGTTTCAGAGCAGATCCCAGCACTAATTCGGTTCAGAGCTTGCTCCCTGGAGCTTGAGTGGGCAGGGGTGTCTCTTTGGCCACGCCTGTAGCTATCAGTTCTCACCCTCTCTGCTCTTAATCCAGGCAGGATTTCCGTGAGCATCCAGCGCTGTCTGCCTCCGAGACAGTCCGTGCACGTGGACAGCCCCGTGGCTGTGAGCCACGGAGACCTCCGGTCTCTGCATCTTCACAACTTCACGCTCACGTTCCCGCTCCCACAGCCCTGCCCGCCCCCCATGTACCCTTACGTGATGGGAACAGCAGGCTTTCCACGGAAAACGCCCTAATCCCAGAGCTCAAGTTGAGGTTACTTCTTACAGTGACTGTTGAACGCATCTTGATGCAGGATCTCGTCTGGAGGCTTGGTTTGGTTTTAGTGGTTTGAATGTTGGTTTTACCCCAACGCAAGCCTCCAGGTAACTCAGATATATGCTTCTGACATATTACAAAAACCTAAGTTCATTTCCATACCTTACGGATCATTAGCGTTATTTGAAATTGAATTGCTCCTCCCTCAGAGTCTCTATTTGATTAGAACTTGCGAGAAATACAAGTTGGCTATGGCTGTAGCGTTTCCCTGTCTCCCGGTGAATCTGTGTTTTGGAATTCCTGAGTATTTGCTAAGGAACAGAATTGCTCATCAGTAGAACAGGTTTTAGTTCTGATCCCATGACTAACTAGCTGGGTTCCTTGTCCTTATCTTTTGTGTAAGATGTTGTGATGGAAGATTGCTAATTTTTTTCTATCTTTAAAATTAAATAATCAAGTAATTTCAGATGTTATAAGAATTCTGCCAGAAAAAATTGGAAAGCTGCGTTATTGATAAATGACAGTCGACGGTGTGAATTTGGGTAGGTTCCAC